TTTCTGTGTAACCGTTCATTGTTCGTAAATGTCAATTTGTGTAGTTTTTTTACTCATTCTGCAGATATCGGTAAAATCACAGTTCCTCTATCACAGGGACTGTGGTAAAATATAGGTAAAGCTTTGAAGAACTTTGAAAGAGCAGCTAATATTCTTCAGGCTTGTACTTTTTTATATATTTTATTTGTCATTCTTTTCGTCGGTGAGCCGGCTGGATCCTTGATCCCTTGTCCATTTCTTACACTAGATACCATCCAATACAACCCCGCCGAGCTCATAGAGACTGCGTACAGTTGATTATAGTTCCTGGGTTCCTTGTGGTGAAACAAATAATTACACATTCAAAGACCTGTCCCAAAGACCCCCGGCAAAGACCACAGTCACTTGACACCTATACACCTCCTCCACGACACATATAAAATAAAATGTGTCGTGGAGGTACGGACCTCCGATCGTTATAAAAGACTTGTTATAGGTAACAAGAAACTGTGGGTGAAATCATGGAACTACAAACCCCGTTCCATGGTGAAACACAATCACATACCTGTACGCAACGTAAGTGTGTCAAGGGCACAGTGCAAACAGAGCTAGAAAACGGTCTCCCAATTTCCTGCTGTTCAACCCCAGACTCTTATCTAAACCCAGGTAGTATTCCGTTCAGCTCGTTGTCGTTTCCACAACAAAATGAGCAAGTAAGCAGCGGCGCGATGGTTACCAGCATTTAATAGCGACCAGAGATCTGTTTAGACGAGAATGGGGCAGATTCCCGAATTTCCGCCAGACGCATTTGCGCATGCGTAACCTACCAAGCAACGGGCGAGGATAGGAGGCATAGGACAACAATATGAAAAGTGAAAAGGACACCGGTAGACATACAACCCGGTTAAACAGTTTTTTTTTAAAGATAGCGAAGTGAGTGTGGGTGGTTACAAACGAGGGCAGCAAGAAGAAATATTTAAGACAAGAGAAACGTGGATTTTCAGTTGAAAAAGGTGATCTTTCCTATAAATTAAGAAAATAGTGAGGGTTGTTACAAGTCGCTGTAAAGTTAAATTGAAGTAGTCACAACATTTGCACCACGACCACACACACAAACCCATTCACTAGCCCTTTGCAAGGCAAATAAAACTCATTTTTAGAAGTTCAGTGTGAAGCCACACAATTTATTAACATCATTCTGCTTATTTTGAACATTCAAAATGTTGCTTTCAGCCAACAAAATTTCTCTTTACAACTCCATCTTAACATTTCTAACTGTTTCAAAAATCAAAACAAATAAAAACAGCTTGTAATTTGCATTGAACCGGCTGATGTCCCAGCAAAGGTCCTTACTGAGCAGCTTTATAAGAGGCATCCCATGGCAAATGTGTACGAGTTTAACTTCTGCAAAGTTTCTTGTGCATTTACTATAATGTACAATACATAATTCAGAAGCGGTTCTCTACAAACAACTAAGGACAGAATAGTGTGACAATTTTTAGTATTTGATAACTGCAGGAATGCATGTCATACAGATGTGTCAAGGATGCCATGTTAACATGTGTCGGTGCCAGCTTTTACACAAAGTGTGGCCACCTAAAGACATAGCGGTAAATAACAAAATACAGAGATAGTATTTATAACTTGCAGCATACAATGGCCACATTATTCTGTCCCGATAGCGACTGTATAACTTCATGAAGTAAAACCAAGTGAATTATTGAGGCAACATAAAGTACACCGTAAACTGAAACTACTTTTGGACCCCCCTCACCATCCTATCACAAAACAATGCTTTATTCATGACAAGGAAACATTTTTTGAAGCGGTTCTAAATTCATAATAAATTCTGCGGTAGTAACAAGATAAACTATTTCAGCTGTGAATCAAAATAAATTAACTTATTTGAAATATTTGCAACCATGCAAAAATGTTGTTTTAATTTTGGTAATGATCGTGAAACTTATGAAAATGTTTTCAACTGGATTTACATTATGAAAGCCACACACAATATGTGCATGTTGCTGTGTGGTATGCACCAAACAAATCACATTAGAGATTTCAAAGTACACCAAGTTTAAAAAAGTATTTATAGTGAGAAAGTTGACCGAGAAATGCTTTAGCCAGAGCACCAACACTGTTTACTATGATAACCAAACTGAAAATAACATACGTGTACAATGAGTTTCATTGTACAATACAAAAACTATTTAATGGTGAACAACATGACTAGTGAGGTGTTTTCTTTGCACAGTACAGTGAATGCCACACATAATGCTGCGAGTGTAAGCTGTGTTATTAGGATATGTTTACACAATATAACTTGTATTGTGGCACTGCATTGTATTGTAGATGATCACATGGTCATACTGAACTTGCATGTTGAGTGCAATCACCTTAAAGGGGAATTGCTCAATCCCATGGATTGCACCACATGCTCATGGGTAATTAACTCCGCCTCTGTCCACTAAGTAAATGAATGCTTATTATGCTCACCTAATCAAACCGTGATTGACATGCATTTTGCATGCATTAGCCACCATTTTAAACTCAGGATTTTTACTCGTCGTGGCATGTTTTGACCGAAAACAACATTTATGCATCAAAAGCCCAGCCAGATGAATGTAATCAGTAGCGTACATATTCATGCCCCAGTAGAAATTTATTTGGAATCAAAGCTTGATCTCTAAACATTGTAAATAGCACATTTCCAGGAGCTCCTGCCATGATGTGAGCGGCTTGGTTCGGATTAACATACTAATTGCGGTGGCCATCTTGCCCCTATTTATAATATCGGTTCCCCTTTAACGCATTGCATGCCGACACTATTTTTTTGGCTATACATGGAGGCCTTTGAGCAGGTGGTGTGTTAATAAATCAGTGATACCTTGCACAATTAATCAAAATATATTTCAAATGAACACAATACTGTCTTGTGGTTCAAGCAGAAAAGTCAAAATATTGTTTTTAGTGCATTAATTCCATTTATGCTAAATTTATTTATAGAAATTATTACTTTACAAAAAAACACTATTTACTTTATTCGGACTATCAAGCATTCATCTTAGATTGTCTTTGCCCCAAAAAGTTAATATGGTGTGCTATGAATAGTGGTAGCACAGAGCCCTATCTGGTGGTACACTGTTTGATTCAATAATAGTACATATGCAATCATACAAAACAATGTATTATGTTGCAGCGAGAAACAGGAAGTGAGCACCCTCTAGGTGCTATTAATAGTCACAGGATTGGCATACATATGTGAGCAAGGTTGGGTTAGTGGAAACACAAGGACACATGTCCAACAAGTCATCTTGTGATAATTTACATACTAGACATACTAAACTTGATTGAATTGCGCTATGATCCAATTACAACTAATTGAGGCATTTTTATCGCATCCATGCTCATATGTGCTGTCATGGCAACACAATTGGGTGATCTAAAGTTTGATTGGCAGTTCAAAATTAAATAGTCATAACATGGCCCAGGGTTTTCAAGCGGCGCTTGGATTAATAACTGCGGTTTATACATACATGTACATATATACTGACAACTGAATAAAAATACTACCAACTAAACGGACAATGTTATGTCAACTGCACCTCACTATAGTTTGTATTTATTGAAATATGATTATTGTAGGGGCATGAAACAAACAGCGGATAGTTGGATATTTAGCTTGTATCCATGAGTGAATCTGAACTGACACTGGCAGCTGCATCTTTCTGAATACTGTCAAACATAGTAGACATTTCAGGACTGGAGCGGATCTGAGAGACAAATTCATTCATCAGAGGATTTTTATCTGGAAATAACAAAAAATACAGTAGTCTTAGAAGTGTTATTTTATGTGTTAACGCCGAGAGGTCATCATCTGCGTATGTGTAGGAATTGAGTTCCAAGCAAGCTAAAAGCACAAATTCTCATGGGTAGAATTTTGCTTGTTAACAATGACACATAAGAAAAGACTTTAAACTAATGTTACAAATGTAAACTCAGAAGCATACTAAAAGAATCTCTACTCCACACATTAATGTTGGAACTCTGTTACATGAGTGTGCAAAATATAACTACTTGTAAGGAAAAATACCTACAAGGACCATCAATCTATCTTGCATGAAATTTGATAAC